ACAGCGTTACAGATAGGTTTCAGCTCTTCCCTGTGCCTTACTGGGGACCGAAGGAATGGGAGGGAAAGGGTGAGGTAAAAGGGCAGGGTGGAAGAACCACAGTGCAAAGAAATAGGACAGGATTTCTCTGTAGCGCTGAAGAGGGCACTAAGAAATGGGCATTGCATCTCCAAGGGGACATGATCTGTGGGTTGGGGGCATGTCCCACCACCTGCAACTAAGGAACAAATGTACAGCTCATGTAGTAGGGATTTTTATTAAATTTTCCTGTTGACGATCTCATGAATTAATGATAAAATATGATTATATAAACAAGCAACTTGTCTTTTCAATCAGGTACATCTGGCGCAAGAGTCCTTATTTCCCAGGTATTGAGCAAGATTTAATTTCTTCCTTCTGGCCAACCCTACCATCTGGCTTTGAAGCTGCTTATGAAATTGACAAAAAGGATCAAGTGTTTCTTTTTAAAGGTATTTCTATTGAATTTCTAGACATTCTTCTTACATGTGGAAATGAAGAAGCAATTATTATTATTAATAACCACCACCACCTAGCACTTACATAACTTTTCACTTCAAAGTGCAGTTTCACAGTCATTAACTAATTAAACCTCACAACAGTCCTGTGAAATAAGATATTATGCCTATTTCATAACTGAGAGGAAAACTGAGAGTGAAGTTAAATGATGTGCTTAAGGCAGGTGAGAGGATCGGTTATATAAAATGGAGTGCTTACATTTAGTCAGCTAAATTCATATTTAGGCACCTAACTAAGTGGCCTGATTTCCAGAGGTGCTGAACAATCCCAGCTCCCATGGGGGGGAAATGGTTTTTTTTAACTACTCTAATGAATTTATAAAGCAAAAAATCCAAGTGTCCTGAAAACTTAAACATTCCAGCTGCCTTGCAAGAAAGGAGTGTCTTCAAATTCAATGCTATCAATGGAATACACCCCTCAGGGAACAGAAAAGTTTCCTTGGGGAAGCTCCACGACTGTAATTAAATACTGCTTAAGCTCATCAGAAGTCCCTATCAAGCTTTTCTATCTTGTTTTTCTTGACAGGCAACCAATACTGGGTTGTCAGTGGATACTCTGTACATCCAGGTTTTCCTAGGAACATCCACACCCTGGGCTTTCCAAGATATGTTAAGACAATTGATGCTGCTGTTTATGATGAGAATACAAAAAAAACGTACTTCTTTGTAGGTGACAAGTATTGGAGGTAAGATTAAATTCTCCCAGCAAATAATCCATGCAGTTTATTTAAAGCCTTATTAAGCCTTTACATTTGGAATTATGACAAATCTGTGGCTCCCTTGAGTAGGATTTCATGACTGGTATATTGCACACCCCATTATTAAGCTGAATTTCAATGACAACAAAGATAGAACTCAGATCTTCCTTTTCCTTAAAACACTCGAGTTAAAGAACATTTTCCATTTGCTGCTAGTACAGTAAAAGCTTTTTTATCGGGCATGTCAGGGGAATGGGGGGTGCCGGTAAGTGAAAGATTCCGGTTAACTAAGAGGGAAGGAGTTTGGGTGCAGGAGGGGGTATGGGCAGCTCCCTACAAGCAGCAACCTGTCTCTGCTGTTCGTAGGGGGAGGCACAGCTGGCAGCTCCATGCTCTGCCGCCGCCCTACCCCGAGCACTGGCTCCACAGCTCCCATTGGCCAGGAACCACGGCCAGTGGGAGCTGTGGGGGTGGTACATGTGGGAGGAGGCAGCACACAGAGCCACCTAGCCGCGCCTCTACCTAGGAAAAATAGGGACAGGTCGCTGCTTGCAGCAAGCCCCCCAAGGTGAGCGCATCCTGGATCCGTCACCCTGCACCCCCTCCCGTGCTCCAACCCCCTGCACAGAGCCCCCTCCTGAACCCACACTCCCTCCCAGAGCCCATGCCCATCCCCTCTCCCGCATGCCGACCCCTCGTGGCTGTTCCTCCACCTAGGAGCAGCAGGGATATGTCTCCGTTTCCAGAGAACCACGCGGAGCCAGGTATGGAGCCTGCTGGCCCGTGCCAACTGGACTATAAACTGGACTTCCGGTGAAGATTAGAAATGTCAGTTTATAGATCTTTCCGGCTGGTACAAGGCCAAATAACAGAGCTTTTACTGTAGTATGTTCCTATAGCATAGGTGAACATATCCAATTCTATCCTGCAGAAGGTAGGGTACACCAACACAGTGGCCAGTTCATTATAGTATAATAGTGTAATTTGGACAGGGACTGGCTTTGTGTTACAGGTTTGTACAGAGCTTAGCACAGCCATTTAAATCTGTTTTCCTTGCCCTTCTGTCACTTGGGTCAATGGAAATAGACACGTCACTTTCACTTTTGTGTCTAGTCATTTTTGTCTTCTCGTTCTTGTGACCAATGCTCTACTGCAGAGTTCCATCCCAGCACCTTTATTAGCACAGGCTGAGCCCCGGTGTCATTGCAAAGAACAGTTAATAGGAGTGCATCATAAATCCATCAGTAAAAATCTCAACTGCCCTTCGGGTCTCTGTCCTTAGTCCAAGTTTAAGGTACCCCCCTCCTTTTCAGCATTGGCTGATTCTTGTGTGCGATGCAGGCCTGTAGGGACCCCATGTTTTGGCAGCTCCCTGTGCCCATCTCCCGGCCCTGACTTAGTTCTCTATTTGTGCCTGCGGTGTCCCTGCAGCTCATGCCTACCATGAGCTGCCTCCCCCAAGTGGTATGCCCCGCCTCCAGGGTTAGGAGAGCTGGTAGTGTAACCCACACATCTCCTGGGTGTGGTGTTCTGTCCCATCAAGTAGCACTGACACCACTTAGAGAGAGATTAATGAGTTTGCTCTATGGCCTTAGCTAATGGCCATATGGCTTTTAGCTCATGTAGTAGAGGCTCATGCATTTAGCTCCAGAGGTCCCAGGTTTGATTCTGATGACTGGGGCCTGTTGGTGTTACAGTAGCAGGTGGGATTTCCTATCAGCTGTATAGCCACCAATAGCTGTGTGAGGGTGGAAAGACCAGATCTTCCTCTTATTTCAACCCCTACCCGATCAGGGCTGGGGCAAGGCTGGCCTTTACAGCACTGCTGCTGTCCCGTGCAGTGGGGAACTTTACTCAATCATTTTCTAAAATTAAATGAAGAAAATATTTCTACAAATGGACAGGTTTTGTAACCACTCCCCCTCACAAAAAAACACACCCCTGTTTCTTCTTGGGTGAGACTATCACATAACTAAGTGCTCACCAAGGCCCCATCCTGCAAAGTCTTATGCGTATGCTTAGCTTCACTCAGGTGACTAGTCCCATTAACAACTCATAAGCACAAAGCAAGACAGGTACAGAAATGTCTTTGCAGGATGAGGGCCCAGATGTCAAGGTTGCACACTTGGGCCCCATACCACTCCTCCTACAGCTATCAAGTAGGAAAAACAAACTATTTAGTCAGAATAGCTACGGTCAACTGTGCATAGATTAGTAAAGGTGAAAGTATTCATATAGTAAGGATTTATACAATTCAATGAGTTTACAGTAGCTCATGGTTAGTGAGTTTTAGCTAAGGGCAGGACTTACTTGTTGTAAAGGTCAGTTGGATTCAATATTAAATATCCCATGCTTATGTATTATTTTCATTTCATTTCTTCATTCAGTTATGATGAAGTCACCGAATCCATGGAAAAGGGTTATCCAAGACGCATATCAGTTGACTTTCCAAGAATTGGCAATAAGGTTGATGCTGCTTTTCAGGAAAAAGGTAAATAGAAAAAAATACTTTGATAGTTGAATATACTGGAAAATGTGCATTTCCATAGATTCAAGAATCATTACAGACATTAGTAAGGGTGTTTCTTTATGTGTACACATTTTAATTTCCAGCATTGTTTGTGGAAAGAGAGTGAATATACATTTGTACAAAGTAATTATTCATTTTGTTTTTATTTCTAGGAAATTTCTATTTTTTCCATGGATCAAAGCAGTATGAGATAGACACCAAGTCCAAGAAAGTTATTCGTGAAATGCAGAGCAATAGTTGGTTTGACTGCAAATAAGAGCAGACACACAAGGTGATGGTGCAAAGGAAACAGAACCCAATTTTGTATGCACCAGAGATGGCTTTTCATCAATTTTTTGTTTCTAATCAGTGTTATTTATCTTTTACTTTATGTCTGAGTCACATAAGAGCTGTGATCCCTGATAAATATTATTTTAAATAACAGAGAAATGTTAAATGTAATATATAGTTTTAACTTATCTTAGTATTGTATTTAGGCTATTTATTAATCTGTCACTCAGCAATAAAGCTATTTTATGTTTGTGTATATAACAGTCTTGGGTTCTTTTGGTCCAGACTCCTGGTCTTTCTGGTCAGCCGCACTAGAGAAGGGACCAGTGAATTTAATTTAGTTGCCCTGCAGGCTGAACTCCCAGCTCAGCCTTTCAGACAATATGATGACTTTAAGAGACTGCACTAGCTGTAGAGGAGAGGCAGAGCGGGAGGCAGAAGTAAGTGGGCAGCTCCAGGGTAGAAGCAAGGGGAAAGACATTAGAAGAAGAAGAAGAAGATAGAAGCACAGCACTAGACGTTCACTCCCTGCTTCATAAGAGTTGATAGTTCTAAGACAGCTATGACCATCTAGGACCTTGACAGTCAGTGTTATGCTGGACACTGTGACCATGTGGAAGTTCATTGTGCTCTGGTATGTTTACTCCTAAAGCACATCTCGACTATGTGAGCTATTTTGCACAGGGCCTATGACACGCAGTTGAGTAGTTCTGATTCCATCCAGTAGAGGGCAGTCACACCCCCTATTCATTACAATATTATTCTAAAAAACTGATCCTATCATCACGCACTACCTGAACTGTTATAATTTCTTTGTGTCTCTTGTAATGAAGTAGAAGGGACTGACATAACCCTAGATAAAGGTATTGCGAAAGATGGGGGTGTAGGATGGCAAAAGTGCGAGATTTGGTGGCTCAGGGGAGTGACAATGGGATATATCCTTCAGGCCTAATCTGAATGCAGCTCAGGTCAGTCTGAGCTATGAGGGAAAACTGAAAAAATTGGGTTTGTTTAGTCTGGAAAAGAAAAGACTGAGAGGGGACAGTTTTCTAGTACATAAAAGGTTGTCACAAGGAGGAGGGACATAAATTGTTCTCGTTAACCTCTGTGGATAGGATAAGAAGCAATGGGCTTAAATTAGAGCAAGGGCAGTTTAGATTGGACATTAGGACAAACTTCCTAACTGTCAGGTTAGTTAGGCACTGGAATAAATTGCCTAGGGAGGCTGCGGAATCTCCGTCATTGGAGATTTTTAAGAACAGGTTGGACAAACACCTGTCAGGGATTGTCTAGATAATACTTAGTCCTGCCGTGAGTGCAGGGGACTGGACTAGATGACCTCTCGAGGTCCCTTCCAGTCCTATGATTCTAGGATTCTATTGTTGGTGACTGGAACTGGATATAGCTATGTTAGCACCAGGTGGAAATTGTTCATAGATAGAGCACTGAGCACTTACCCAAATCAGGTGATGTCTTAAATTGAGTACCCAAAATCCAAGGCACCCACAATCACCAGTCACATTTGAAAATCTTGTCTATGTAGTGTGCATCCAACCCTGCTCTCACTGATGACAAAAGTCATGTGCAAACCTAATGACTGCATTCAGAGTAGTATCAGGCCCTGAATAAACACGCACTGTGAGAATGTGTGGGGGGCGTGTGCTATAGACCACCCAATCAGAAGGATGATGTAGATGAGGCTTTCTTCGGACAACTAACTGAAGTTTCCAGATCACAGGCCCTGGTACTAATGGGGGACTTCAATCACCCTGACATCTGCTGGGAGAGCAATACAGCAATGCACAGACAATCCAGGAAGTTTTTGGACAGTGTTGGGGACAACTTCCTGGGCAACTACTGGAGGAACCGACCAGGGACCATGCTCCTCTTGACCTGCTGCTAAAAAAAAAAGGGAAGAATTGGTAGGGGAGGGGGCATAGCAGAGGGCAGCTGGGGTGGGGAGCTGCCGCACGGCTCCCCGGGCCAGGGGTGTGGGGAGCTGCCGCGGGGGGGGGTGCCTCAGGGTATGTGGGGGAGCTGCAGAACAGTCAGCCTCACTTCAGTCCCCAGCAAAATCATGGAGCAGGTCCTCAAGGAATCCATTTTGAAGCACTTGGAGGAGAGGAAGGTGATCAGGAACAGTCAACATGGATTCACCAAGGGCAAGTCATGCCTGACCAACCTGATTGCCTTCTATGATGAGATAACTGGCTCTGTGGATGGGGAAAGTGGTGGATGTGATATATCTTGACTTTAGCAAAGTTTTTGAAATGATCTCCCACAGTATTCTTGCCAGCAAGTTACAAAAATATGGATTGGATGAATGGACTATAAGGTGGATAGAAAGCTGGCTAGATTGTCGGGCTCAACGTGTAGTGATCAACAGTTCGATGTCTAGTTGGCAGCCGGTATTAAGCGGAGTGCCCCAGGGGTTGGTCCTTGGGCCGGTTTTGTTCAACATCTTTATCAATGATCTGGATGATGGGATTACTTGAACCCTCAGCAAGTTCTCAGATGACAATAAGCTGGGGGGAGAGGTAGATATGCTGGAGGGTAGGGATAGGGTCCAGAGTGACCTAGACAAATTGGAGGATTGGGCTAAAAGAAATCTGATGAAGTTCAACAAGGACAAGTGCAGAGTCCTGCATTTAGGAAGGAAGAATCCCATGCACCGCTACAGGCTGGGGACCGACTGGCTAAGTAGCAGTTTGCAGAAAAGGACCAGGGAATTACAGTGGACAAGAAGCTGGATATGAATCAGCAGTGTGCCCTTATTGCCAAGAAGGTCAATGGCATATTGGGCTGCATTAATAGGAGCATTGCCAGCAGATTGAGGGAAGTGATTATTCCCCTCTATTTGGCACTGGTGAGGCCACACCTGGAGTACTGCATCCAGTTTTGGCCCCCTCACTACAGAAGGGATGTGGAGAAATTGGAGAAAGTCCAGCGGAGGGCAACGAAAATGATCAGGGGGCTGGGGCACATGATTTATGAGGAGAGGCTGAGGGAATTGGGCTTGTTTAGTCTTCAGAAGAGAAGAGTGAGGGGGGATTTGATAGCAGCCTTCAGCTACCTGAAGGGGGTTCCAAAGAGGATGGAGCTCGGCTGTTCTCAGTGGTGGCAGATGGCAGAACAAGAAGCAATTGTCTCAAGTTGCAGGTCTAGGTTGGAAATTAGGAAACACTATTTCACTAGGAGGGTGGTGAAGCACTGGAATGGGTTACCTAGGGAGGTGGTGGAATCTCCATCCTTAGAGGTTTTTAAGGCCCTGCTTGACAAAGCCTTGGCTGGGATGATTTAGTTGGGGTTGGTCCTGCTTTGAGCAGGAGATTGGACTAGATGACATCCTGAGGTCTCTTCCAACCTTAATCTTCTACGATTCTATGATTCTATGAATGTATCTCATTGCTTATTACTGTAACAAATGCATATACACAGTCGATATTTTCCATAAACAATAAGATCATTGTTCAGTCTAGTCCAGTATGCAGCAGTGGCCAGTCTGAGTTGCTTCATAGGAAAGAGAAACAAAAGTTATAATGCTCCTCGCAGGCAATTTTCAGAGGAGGTGCCATGTGGACATACCTGCTGGAGAAAAGAATGCTCTCGCGTGGCCTGAATAGGAGACGAATTTTCAGAGGATTTGGAAATTCAGCTCCATCATTGCCCGGCCTGGCAGGGTTTAGTCCCTTCTCTAGATAGACACACATACATGGAGATTTTCAAATGAATCAAGTCTGACCTGGAAGTGATTCCTGCATGAAGGGATGTTAGTGGATCCAGTATCCTTAATGTCGTAGAGGAAATTATGGCAGATTAGGCTTCTGGGAAGAACACACACTCTAGGCTGGAAAGGAAGGGAGATCCACCAGGAGCCACACAAAAGGCACAAGCAAGACAGCAAGCCCTGCCATTAAACAAAGACTATCTCATTCATCTGAGCAGTCATTATGCAGCTGTCAGAAGAGGGGTACATGCCTCTCCCTCTGCAGCTGGCATTCTCAGCAACATAATACATACATATGGCTCCATATTTACACATACTAGCCTCAGGGCTTGGCAGTAAACTACGCAGACAGGCGGGAGATGTAAACATCTCTCTGTTAGACGCCACTCATCAGGGGCACAGCCAGAGCTGCAGTTTTACAGCTCAAAAGTTCCTCGTGTGTGGGTCCTCACTCTTGTACTTTAGCCTGTGGCTCCCACACTGTTGCCAGAGTACACTGTGGCCAGAACAGGGCTGGGTGTGTGAAGCATTTTCAGAACAAACCGTACTCATTACCTCACAGGCAAGCCATGTGGGGACCCCCACTCTTATCTTCTGCCTTTCAGGTTGGTATTTGTACAATTTAAAGTAGCATTTACATATGCTGATTGGCAACTTGCATGCATGGACACAGTTGAAAAGGGCCAAATTTTGAGACTTCTACTCAGCATTGTGCCCATGGGAGGATGAAGTCTTCTTCTGGTGCTGTTACTAGGGGCTCTGGCCAAGGGAATGCTGCTGGTGGGGGTATCGACCCTGGCATAGCAAGGGCCAGACAATGGTATGAGACATTCCTGAGAAAGAGGCTTTGAGACAGGAGAGTGTAGCAATCAGCAAGTCAAATCTCTGTGGAAGAACAAGAAATTCTCATTATGGAGGTCACTTCTAGGTTCGATCGCTTCATGGGCAAGGCCTCAAAAAACATCTCTGTGGCTATGAAAGTTTCTATATGGGATGATATACTAAGAAAAGTGAATGATTTTAGTGGGTGATGGACAGCACCAAGAAATGGGGGGAAAAGAGGGAACAGAATAAGAGGGCAAAAGTTAGCAACAGGGCACATTTGACAATATTGCTGAGTCCTGCCAATTGAAGTACCACAACAACCTCACTAAAACCTTCCCAGTGCCTCTGTGGATGGGCACTCTAATGCAAACAATGATGAGTGTGGAAAATTTAGGCCCCATGACCAAGTATCTGCTTCCTCCTGAATCTCTGTCCTGTGTCCTGTTTCAACAAGACCAACCAACCATCCAGAGGGAGAAAGCAGATACTCGAGACTTCATCATAATGTCTATCTCCTGGCGCTGTTTTCTGCTGGTTTCCACTGATGTGTCCCAGAGGGAAATAATTCAGCAAATGTCTCTGTAATGTATGTACCTCTCCTTTCAGAAATCTCCTCTATTGCCATCTCTCACTATGTTTTGGATGGAGGCCCCTCTGCCTACTTCCTGTGGCAGCCTGTGCCCTTTGTGGTGGAGAATGAAACAAAAGATAATTCTCCACCCTGAGGTGGAGACGGTGGTGTTAAACCATTAGTGAAGAATTTGAGCTTATGAATTTTAGGGGACTTTCTAAGGCCTCATGCCCAATATCCAGGATGCTGATGCTGATTGGTGCATGCACCATATGAAGCAGAGAGAAAGCTTCCTGACAATAGCGGGGAACATATTATCCAAAGCATAAGAGCTAGGCCCGGATTCGGGGCTCTGTGGTGGCTCAGTACTCTGGCTTTGCTGGTATACCAGGGCCACAAAGCAGGCCGAACTGGCCATTTGGGAATCACCCCTGGCATAAGGGAGATTCTGTTAGGATAGAGCCAGCAGGACATTGCCATATCGCCCTGCTAACAGCCCCCAGTGTAAGGGAGCACCAGGGTTGTGGTGGTAGATTATGGGGGGACATGTTGAAGGAGGAGATATAGTCAGAGCACAGCGCACTCCTGCTATTCCGTACCATGTTCAGCACGGTGTAAGATAGAGCAGCTCCTAAGGACTGTTCTAGCTTTTATTGTTCTGTTCCTTCGCTGTCTCCAAAATTAAGGTGGTGGTGCAACAGTCCTTTACCCCATCCCCAATTCCTGCATTCAGTTTACCTTAACCAGGCCTGAGATTCAAGTTGTAATTGCTGCGTGGGATTGTTGCTTGGTAGTACAGGAAGGAGCAATGGGCAGAGAGAGACATGGGTGGTTCCAATAGAGCTAAGAACCTTATTAAAGATAACCTGGACGTGATGCAAATAATCAGCACTGCTTTTTCAGTGTCTTACATCACAAGGACTATTCCAATGGGCAAAGTGAGCAGATTATGGCACTACATTAACAATGAGATTTCTCCCAAAATACATGTGACTGTAGAAGACACTTGTTTCAGTTGTCTACAAAAAAACTGGAACCTGCCAAGGTTTCATTTTGTTTCTTATTAGAGGCCACAATTCTGCAAAGACTTATATCTGTGCTTACCTTTGAGCACCTGAGAGGTTTCAAGTTAATGGGACTGTTCAGATGCTTAAAATTAAGGACATTCATAAATGTTCTGAGGCTCAAGGCTGGATTTTTTAAGTAGCTAAAATAACATTTTTCTTACCTGAAGAAACAGTGAGTTTATAAAGGAAAGGAATATCAAGCTATTTCCTGAGCATTAATCATATTGCCCGATTGCAAAATTTGCAAAGGGGCGGAGTGGGATGGGATGAAAATCTGTCAAGCTTTTCATGCCTAAACCAGTGTTTGCATATCTTCTGTTGGTAATTGGAGGCTGTTCTAAACTGTGAGTCAGACTACACCTGACTTTATGAAGCACACAAGTATTATATAAACAGGGATATGTGAGAGACTTGAATGTAGCGGGCGGAGATTGAGATCTTCATAAAGACAAGACATAGAAGCAAAAGAATGAAGAACCTTCCGTTTCTGCTGCTACTATGGGCCGCATCTTGTGCTTTTCCTATAGATCCGAAAAGGAAAGCGGAAGAAGAGACGAAGCTTGTTCAGGTAATGATTGCAGACACACAGGACCAGATCCTGAGCTGGAGTTAATTGAAGTTAATGGAGCTATGCTGATTTACACCAGCTGAGGATCTGACCCTATACATGCTGATGGGGTGAATAGTCTGGTTCAGCATTTCCCAAAGAATAGAAGTATGCCCTCCTAGAGGGGTGTGACACACTGGCCGTGAAAGGTTCCCCAAGGCTGCCCTTCTAAAATGGTGGGGTGGAAGGGTGGATAGGACTTGTTTCATTTTCCTGAAGGGGGCTCTTGGTTTCAAAAGCTTGGAAAGTGCTTGCCTTGGGTGCTGTTTTAATGGATGTGCAATGCTCAAAGTGAGGCAATATTTCTGAAGAATAATTCAGCGCTGACATCATGAACCGTAGACATTTGCCAGGAAGCATCTTATTATTATTTTGTTTTACATTATTTTGCGGGAAACAATTTAAAATTACAGTACACCCGTTTAGGGTCTGATATTGCAAACATTTAAACATGTGAATAACTTGACACACAAGTAATCTTCTTCAGCAACAGTGGGTCCTGTAGCACCTTTAAGACTAACAGATGTATTGGAGCATAAGCTTTCGTGGGTGAATGCCCACAACATGCGTCTGATGAAGTGGGCATTCACCCACGAAAGCTTATGCTCTAATACATCTGTTAGTCTTAAAAGTGCCACAGGACCCTCTGTTGCTTTTTACAGATCCAGACTAACACGGCTACCTCTCTCATAAGTAATCTTCTTGGCTCACTTGGGGCTTCTCAGAGGAGTAAAGATATTCTCATGCATAAGTGGCTGTAGGATCGGGATCTTCATTTTGTCTGCATCATTACACATGATAAAATGTAATGCTATTGGCAAATCATGCTTTCAATCATGTTCTTCAAACATCTGTCATTGTCTGTCTTTAGATACTGCATGGAGTGCTGGAATAGATAGTAAATCTAAGGTGTTTTGTCACAAAATGTTCCATTTACAGGGCAAATGTTTATTCTGAATGTGTTCTGAGCATTGATCCTATTGTACAATTGCAAAACATTCATGCAGAACTCTTGTAGCCACATTATCACACAACAAGATAATGTCAAGGTATTAATATAAATGGAAAATGGGAACTAATTTCAGTTTTACAAAGTTTCTAAACAAGGTGAGTTCCTGAAACACAGAGGGAACAAGCAGCAGAAACCCAGGGTAGATCTCATGTCAGAATATTTAATATTATTTTGCAAGATCTAAAAAAGAACCTAGTGTCTTAATATATATCTGTTTCATCAGAAGTACCTGGAAAATTACTACAGCTTTAAGACAGATGGGAAGCCTGTTTTTAGATGGAAAAGCGATAGTCCCATAGTCAACAAAATCAAAGAAATGCAAGAATTCATTGGATTGGAGGTGACTGGGAAATTGGATTCTAACACTCTGGAGGTGATGCAGAAACCCCGGTGTGGAGTCCCTGATGTTGCTGATTTCTCCACCTTTGCAGGACAACCAAAATGGGGGAAAAGAACTCTAACATACAGGTAACTATGCAGTAGTAGAGGGGTTTTCTTGAATTAAAGGGAAACAAGTTGCTCCAAGTAGATGATCAATATTGTAAAGAACTCAGCTGTTTCTCTATATTATATTTGAAAGGATTTTGAACTACACACCAGATATGGCCCAAGTTGATGTAGATGCAGCCATCAAGAAAGCTTTTACAGTCTGGAGCAATGTGATCCCATTGACATTTACCCGGGTTGACAGAGGTGATGCAGATATATTGATCTCCTTTGCAGCCAGAGGTAAATATATCTATCTATCTGTATATAATCATTGTAAATATTACCAGCCAGAGGTCTGTGAATTATTTTTCCTGAAATTATTATTCATTATTATCATTTGTATTAGGATGGGGATCCCATTGTGCTAGGCATTATACAATCACACACAAAAACACAGTCCCCGCCCGAAAGTGTTTACAATCTAAGGCCCTGATATTGCAAAGATTTATAGCTGTACATAACTTTACACACTGTGTGTAGTTCAACGGGATTGTGCATAGTGTATAATGTTCAGCCTGGGCAGACATCTGCACAGAATCAGGGCTTGTGGGTCTTACTCATAGCTTTACTCATGACTGTAGTTCCATGTATGTCATTGGGACTACTGACATGCTTAAAGGTAAGCACAGGTTAAAGTGCTTTGCTAAATAAGGGCCACAGAGCTCTGTGCTTGGGGCTGGCTCCCCCTCGGAGGCTTTTCCGTGGTGGAGGAGGGCAAACTCCACCCCCAACTGGGATGATGTGGGTGGATCCTCAGGGAGATTTCTCCCACCAAAGCTCTCTTCTATGTGCATAGAAGGTAGCAGGATCATAATTAGACATGATGCAGTGAGTAAAGAGAACAGAAAGTAGTGGAGGATGGTGGAGGGAACAATAAAAGGTCATATGATTATTTTGGTTTCTCACATGCTTGTCTTGTGGTTCGACTATATAAATACAAGTTGTACAACAGCTCGTCATTATTTTTATTTACCTTCCTTTCCTTTGCATTTCTCCTCCCACCAAGCCATTGTACCTGCATTCATGCCCATCTCCAATCCTTACTCAATTCCCAGTAAGGACTGCTTCATGATCTCTTCCATTTTGACAGATTTTTGTTTCACTTCCAATTGTTTAGTGTCTGCAGATCTACTAGAAAGTCAAAACTTTCCGCTTTTCAGTAAAAATTGACAAATAATGGGGTTGTCCAAATTGCATGTCAGAGGAATTTGGAGTGTTGCAAACGCACAAAGAGTTCTATTGCACCTTATTCCATTCTTAGTTCACAACGATTTCAATCCCTTTGATGGTCCTGGTGGGACGGTTGCTCATGCCTATGCACCTGGCAATGGTATTGGTGGAGATGCTCACTTTGATGAGGATGAAGACTGGACCAAAGGCTCACAGGGTATGTAAACCAACTCTTAATATTTCATACCTGGGCTCGGTAGGATTTTCAAAACGAGGCACCTAAATTTTGACTCCTAAATCCATAGTTAGATACCTAAGTGAGTGGCTGATTTTCAGAAGTGTTGAAAAACCAACAGGATTTTAGCACTTTTGAAAACCCATCCCACATAATTAGCTTCCTCAGGCCCCAGTTTTCCAAAGGCATCACAACATCTGGACTCCTGCACCCACATTGATCTCTGCTGGAGTTGTTGGGTGCTGGATCAGGCCTACAAGCACTGCACCTTTGCACTTTTGATGCGCTTCAATGTATTTTCATTGTACTTAGTTTTATTTCAACTACATCTGAGTTTACTATAAGCACTAAAAACCTCTGTTGTATTGAGTGCAATTGGGTGGCTTGTATTTCACATTGATGGGCAAGAACATGAAAAGACTTACCTTTCTTTTATACATTTTGTTTGCTGTTTTTAGGTTCCAACTTGTTTTTCGTGGCTGCGCATGAGTTTGGCCATTCACTGGGACTCTTCCATTCTAGACACCCTGATTCACTGATGTACCCAGTTTATAGACACTTTGATTCCAAGACTTTCCGTCTTCATCAGGATGATATTAATGGCATTCAATACCTCTATGGTAATCAAACATTATTAATCGCTCAATGTTTATGGCCTCTAACAAGTTCAAATAACTTTTAATGAAATCCATGTTGAATGGTTATATTAACTATAGCTTGAATAAAAATGACAGATCCACTGAAGTTATCTGAATTTTATAATATCAAATCCTAGTTTTAATTTCTTCTCTAAACTGTTTTCCCTAGGACCTTCATCTAACCCCCCTGAAGATCCAACAGAATCTACTGTCTCCATAGAACCCCTGGAGCCAACAGAACCGCTACCACCAAACACTTGTGGCCCTAATCTGACTTTCGATGCTGTCACCACTTTCCGTGGAGAAATAATGTTCTTTAAAGACAAGTAAGCTGACTGTCTTAAAGCAACATCATATCTTTTGCTTAAATCTTCCTTTGATGGCACAATAGTTTGGAAAAATAAGAAACATTCCAAATTTTGTCCAGCATGTTAGTCAAACCAATACCTTTTATTATGTTCAAAAAAGGTTCAGATAAATATCACCAATCTTTCTTCCCAAGTGCCAACAGACCTCCTACTTACCTGCACAGAAGTGATCATTAAGGGATATTTCCTTAGACTGTAAGCTCTTTGGGTCAGGGGCCATCTTTCTGTTCTGGTTATTTATGCAGTACCTAGCACAACAGGATACATAGCTGGGGTCCTTGGTACTACCACAATGCAAATGATAAACCCTAATAATAATAATAATAACAGCAACACACACTTGCCAGACTTATTTCCCAGTCTAATCATAGGAGAAAACTTGTCAAATTTAGATAAGATTGTGGTAACTGTTGACAAATTCTGACTTCTTCATTGTGACCTCTATATGCTGGACTCTATCATGACATCTAACACTGGCAAGTTTTACTTGGGTACTTGGGTTCTGCAGTATTCCCAGGACAATTCATTGATTAAAACAACTGACCAGAGATGAGCAGTAAGTGTGCCAAGCTGAAGCATTCCTCCACGGAAAATCACTAATACTCGGGTGCTCTCAAGGGCTTAAAGAGAATAGATTGTGGGTTCTGAGGACCCAAAAAGAGGAAAGTGGGATAAAAGGAGGTCTTAGTGAGACCTGGGATATGGTATGGTAGTAAAAGGATAGAGGTAAGTATTGGTGGGTAAAGAGACAAATCTGGTTCCCTTAAGAAAAGGGAGGGAGAGGAAGAGGGATGGGATGCAGAGAAGACAGAGAGAGAATTAGAAAGGGTGCCTTAAAAGACAGGGATAAATTAGAATAGGTCCCAACATTCAGAATTCAGGAGAACTCAGTTTTGGACTCTGAACCCATTACTTGGGACACTGAAGTTAGCCATTTACCCATCTTTAACTGCAGCCTTCTAAACTTTGAAAATTTGCCATCCCAAATACCAAGTCTACATGCACATCCTTTGCAACGATGATTTCGGATAATGAAACCAATTACCATCATTATATTTTATCATTTGTTCAGTGCTGCAGAAAGGTGTAGATTGCTTCCGCCTAAAGACTTCACAGTCTAAAGGAGTTTATAATATTGTATTCTGACATTCAAAATATACTAATGGCAGGAGAGCAGGCAAATAAGTATTGTGAAATCTGCTTTCCCTGAAATCCAGAGATTTATCCAGCGATAAACTCTCTCAGGGGAAAATCCTCAGCCCAGAGCCTAGCACGAGTATGTGGAGTAGATCTTGGGGAATCCTCTGGTCTCACCCAACTCTACCACCTCCCTTTCTCAGTGGTGTGCTGCAGAACTGAGTCCCATTTCCTTTTCGTGTAGCAGAACTGCATTTGTTCCATGCCAGGGAACCCTCTCTAACCTCAGTGGTAAAGGCAGGTTTTAGCCCTAAGTGATTCAAAAGTCAAAAATCTAAGTAAATGCATAGAAGACATGATTTGGGAGCAATGGAATTTGTATGTGTGCCAATATACAATACTCTCTGGGCTGTAGAAGTTGTAAACTCTTATTGCCATGGTTAGAATCTCACATATTGTTATGTATAAAGATATGATTTAATAAGCAAGTTGTACTGTATTTGGATCAGGTACTTCTGGCGCAAACACCCTACAAGCAGAGAAGTTGACTTTAATTTAATATCTTCATTCTGGTCACCTCTGCCATCTGGCTTGGATGCTGCCTATGAAATTACGGACAGAGATGAGACATTTCTTTTTAAAGGTAAGCATCTGAATTTCTCCATGTTCTTCTTACATGTGACACAAATGGAATTTACCTGCTTTGAAAATACACCTCTACCTCGATATAATGCTGTCCTCGGGAGTTAAAAAAATCTTACCGTGTTTTAGGTGAAACCGTGTTATATCGAACTTGCTTTGATCCGCCGGAGCGTGCAGTCCTGCCCCCCCGGACCGCTGCTTTACCGCGTTATATCTGAATTCATGTTATATCGGGTTGCGTTATATCGGGGTAGAGGTGTAGTTAAGGAAATTGAACCTTGTACTCTTTTAATGGGATTACATGAACTCTGATCTAATCCAATTTACTGGTATTGTTTTGCAATTAAATTGCTAACAAAAACCACACTTGGCATCAAAATGCCTGTCACTTATTTGATTAATGTTTGTCATAACTATAAAGGGAAGGGTAACAGCTCTCCTGTGTACAGTACTATAAAATCCCTCCTGGCCAGAGACTCCAAAATCCTTTTACCTGTAAAGGGTTAAGAAACTCAGGTAACCTGGCTGACACCTGACCCAAAGGACCAATAAGGGGACAAGATACTTTCAAATCTTGGTGGGGGGATGGCTTTTGTTTGTGCTCTTTGTTTTGGGGGTTGTTCGCTCTTGGGACTAAGAGGGACCAGACATCAATCCAGGCTCTCCAAATCTTTCTGAACAAGTCTCTCATATTTCAAACTTGTAAGTAAACAGCCGGGCAAGGCGTGTTAGTTTATCTTTGTTTTCTCAACTTGTAAATGTACCTTTTGCTAGAGTGTTTATCTCTGTTTGCTGTACTTTGAACCTAAGGCTAGAGGGGGGTCCTCTGAGCTCTTCAAGTTTGATTACTCTGTAAAGTTATTTTCCATCCTGATTTTACAGAGATGATTTTTACCTTTTTCTTTAATTAAAAGCCTTCTTTTTAAGAACCTGATTGATTTTTCCTTGATTTTAGATCCAAGGGGTTTGGATCTTGATCCACCAGGAGTTGGTGGGAGGAAGGAGGGGGGATGGTTAATTTCTCCTTGTTTTAAGATCCAAGGGGTTTGGATCTGTATTCACCAGGGAATTGGTGAAGAGTCTCTCAAGGCTACCCACGGAAGGGAATTAGCTTTGGGAATGGTGGCAGCGGACCAGATCTAAGCTGGTAGTTAAGCTTAGAAGTTTTCATGCAGGCCCCCACATTTGTACCCTAAAGTTCAAAGTGGGGAAGCAGCCTTGACAATGTTAACGAAGCTAAATTTCCCTAACAAATCAAGCTCTATCCAAGGAAATGTGAAATGGCACTATTTGTCTAAATTAAAAATAGTAGCCCAAATTCATCCTTAGCATTCAGAAGAGTTACATGAGGGATGGATTTTGCCAGGTGTGTTTAAAATACAACAGAAGGCGATGGTCCATTGTTTACTGTAGCCACAGGAATATAATTCTCAACAGAAGTTCCTCACAAAATGTTTTCAACAACTTTTCTTGATAGGAAATGAATTCTGGGTT